AACTTATTCCCTAGGTCTACTTCTTTTCTAATTAACGGATTTTCTTCAATATTTTATCCTAATGTTCTCAAACTTTTTAATTTATCTCTTTCTTTCTCTAAATTTGCTACTTTTATAAGAAATCTATCGTTATACCTATCCTGAAAAACTAATTTTTAAATCCTGCTTTCCTCTTATCTATCTATAGAATAGTTTTATCAGCTGCTCAATATTTTAATTGATGATTACTTGTGTATGTGTATTCTCTCTCTCTCTCTCTCTCTCTCTATATATTTTTTTTTTTCAATCCAATTTTATTCGGCAAAAATCAAACCAGGAGATCCAAAAGAAAAACTTGTGCAGACCACCTTAACTAAAAAAAAATAAAAAAAAATGTGTAAAAAAAAAAATATATATATACTAATAGGAAACTTATGTAGCACCAATTAAATGTTCTCAAAAGCGCTATCGTAAACAGAAGTCTACAATACTATTAATAAGAACAAAACTTAAGTAAAATTATTAAAGTTTAACGGTGAATAAATATGTTTTTAGTTTTTTTTAATGTTCTAAGAGACAGTCCGGACGATCGCAATGACTGTGCAAGCTGTTCCACACAGTCGGACCTGCAACAGAGATACTCCGTGCACCAATCTGCAAGTGTGAAGCCGATATTGTCAACAAAATCACATCATCTGACCGTAGTGAGACGACGCAGACATTTTTTTTTGAAAATTTATTTACGATATATTCCGGTGACATCCCATTCAGTGATTTAAACACAAGTACAGCGATTTTGAAGGTTACTCTTTTGTGTATAATTTATTATTATAATTAAATAAATATTCTCTCTATATATACATATATTTATATAAATGCAATGAATAGTAATAATATGTACAGTAGTTTAGCATTTATAGCGTTGCTTAATTTTCTATTTAATTTTTCAATCTTTCTCATGATGATCGTGGGTACATATACTGTTGTCCTAACTTAATTGCTTACATCTTTTCAAATTTCAATTAAATCAATCATTTCAACCAAGTCAATCATCGTTTCAATCTAATCAATTTTTGTTACGATCGTAAATTTCACAGACTCCAAAATTGATTGCATCTCGAACCGTTTTTTTGTACGCTCTATAATATAGGGTCTATATATTTAGCGTTTCTAACAAACTTCAAATTGCATTACTTAATTTTTATGTCATTGAGATGTGAAAACACTTGTCAATCCAACAATTCAATCATTTCCTCACTCACAATCGTTATATCATTCATTTCACTTGTATATTATTCAATCCAAGAACTTCTAACTAAACAAATTCTAAAAAATTTTTATGTCTCCGGTTGTGCACCCGTTTAACCATTGAAAAACCTATTAATTTAATTTAAAAATTTCAACGGAAGGATTGTATATGATTGAGAGTGCTCAAGTTTAAAATTCGCACTAAAATTTTTAACATGGTCAACAATGTTTCACGATTTAATTGTACGTCGTTAACGAAAATGTTAGCTATCTTCAGAAACCATTCCGAACGTTCACGTAGCATTTACTTTGTGTCTTCATGATTGTGTTTGTCCGTGTTCAAATGGCGACGATGACAATTGTTATAACGAAATAGATTTATAATTTTGACATGAAAACTACATGACTTAAATGTTTATTTTTTACCATGCAATTTATTTGAAATATGCAAGTATAGATGCGTAAGGTGAGGCCTCTGTTCAACGTTATATAATTCGTGTCATGAAATGAAATGAAATGAAAACTTAAAACGTACCGGAGCAACCCAGCGACATTCTTAACAAGCCATCTCAACTACAATCTAAACGTCTAGCGTATAAATTAAAAAAATGAGACTGACGAGCGCATCACTGTTTTATGGTCTCGTTCTAGAATGTTCGTTCGTCAAAATGGCAGCTGATGCTAACTAAAGTTATTCTATCGAATGTAAAGACGCAAAAATGCGTAAAAGAAAGTGATACAGTTTAAGAAACCAAATTTAAAAGTTAGCCGAACGTTTTAAAAACAGAAACTTGATCGTCATTTCTTGACTGTCCATTAATCTATGCATATACATACATGAAAGTTAAGTTAGTTTAATTATTTAATAATATTAATAATTTTAATAATAATTTTGTTTAACTTTTTTAACCAATTTAAATTTTTCTAAATTTTATGATTAATTGCTAAATTATAATTTTTTTAAGTTTATGACTTCATGTTTACTTTGCTG